GGAAGATCAGCCCTGAGCTAACATCCATGCTAATCCCCCTCTTTTTGCTGAGGAAGACCGGCTCTGAGCTAACATCTATTGCCAATCCTCCTCCTTCTTTTTCCCCAAAGCCCCAGTAGATAGTTGTATGTCATAGTTGCACATCCTTCTAGTTGCTGTATGTGGGAGGCAGCCTCAACATGGCCGGAGAAGCGGTGCATCGGTGTGCTCCCGGAATCCGAACCCAGGCCGCCAGTAGCAGAGCACGCGCACTTAACCGCTAAGCCACGGGGCCAGCCCCTCCAACATTTCTGATTGGTTTTTCTTTATAGTTTCAATCTCTTTTGTGATGAAGTTCCTGATTTCATTGAATTGCCTATCTGTGTTTTCTTGTAATTTGTTGAGCTTTTTTATGATAGCTATTTTGAATTCTCTGTCATTTAGGTTATAAATTTCTGTGCCTTCAGGATTGATTTCTGGGTGCTTATCATTTTCCTTCTGGTCTGGAGATTTACTATATTTTTGCATACTGCCAGAGGGCGTGGTCTGCCCATTTTTTCATTGGATAGTTTGTTATTTTGCTATTGAGTTGAATGGTTCTTTATATATTTTGGATATTTGGATACAAATCAGATATATGATTTGTAAATACTGTCTCCCATTTGGTAGGTTGTCTTTCCATTTTGTTGATGGTTTTCTTTGCTGTGCAGAAACTTTTTAGTTTGACGTAGTCCCAACTTGTTTATTTTTGCTTTTGTTGCCTTTGCTTTTGGTATCAGAGATGGACATTTTAGAAGACCAAAAACCAAGGCTGGCCCAATGGGTTTCAGTCCATCCTTACTCCTTATGAAGGCACTGTGAAGCAACATCCAGAGGACATATGTCCTGGCCCCTGCTCTGCCTAAGACACGTGTCTTCAGTGTGGAGAGGCTCAGGACCCAGCTGTAGTTCAGTTCTGCTGGAACCAGAGGAAGTGACAGGAGATCTTGCTACCTGCAGATGACCCTCTGGAACCTGCTTTCTTCAGGGCAGGAATGAGGAGCCATAGGTGGTATCCCATCACTGCTGTCTTTCCACATTTGGGATACTATAGGCAGGGTTTTCTCTTCTCTCAGGTGGAGACACTAAAACGCAAGTGAAAAGAGTTTACAGACTGGACTCAGAACCAAGGTGCTTTTTAACCCTGAGCACACTAACTACCTTTCCATATCCATAGGTGGTATCTTGGCCAGATCATATATGTTTCTTCGTTACTTTTGAGTGTTAGAAGACTTTCATTTTCATGTGTGAAAAAATATCAAAGAAATCTTCTCTTCCCACCTCATCTCCAGTCCCCCTTATATAGAAGCAGGAAGTCTGCGGTAGACAGGGGTCTCAGGACAGTTTGGCCAGCTCAGTCTGGCATGGATGATCCTAGCAGGTCCCATGTGGGGCATGTGTCACCTGCAGAACTTGGCTCTAGGAGCCCAGGGAGAAACCCACTGAAACATCCTGTTATGGTCATATACCTTCTAGACAGAAAGAATTTTTGGTAGCAAATTTGCAGTCACATTACATTGCTACCATTTGATGGAGATATATAATATGTCTTCTGGGAAGGACAGGACCCACATGTGAAGTGAGGTCCATCACAAGGAGATGTCAAAAGTTGTCAGGTTCTTAGGGAATTTTCCTGAAGGTCTCACACATTGGGTGGGGAGTGGTAGAGCAGGGTATGCTTTCTTTTCGTCAGGAACTAAACTGTCCCACTGAACTTGCTACTGTGTGTGACTATTATTTTCATAAAAATGAAAATGTTAAAGAGAATTTAAATGAGGTTGTGAAGATCCATGGGTAGGAAAAGTTGGATGGAGTGATCAAGCTTTGAATTTGGTCTTGAAGAAATGAAAGTCTCTTAAAGAAGGAAGGTGTTCCAAGATAGGGGCAGAGCCTGGGCAATGGCAAATAAGGCCAAAGGAAAAACAAAAAGGCCAGGAGTCCAGACAATGCTTGAGAACAAAAAGGGAAGGTGCTCCTGCTACAGTGTGGGGTGGGGCTGAGGTTCTGCCTTCCTGTAACAGCACACTGCAAGCCGCCCTTTGGTATACTAAGTCTTTCACCTTCCCTCTTCTCTCCCCCCTCCTGCTAGAGTGGCCTCTGCTGCTCCCAGCCATGGGTCAGTCCTCCTTCCCCACAACCTCTCAAGGAAATGCTCATGATTCAGCCTCCAGCTTTGACAAGTTTTTTAAGAAGTTCCAGATAGAAAGCAAAATCCTCTCTCAGGAAACCATCAATTTGATTCAATCACACCTGGAGAAGGGGGACTTTCAGAGGACAGTTTCTGCAATCAGTGATGCACTGAGAGACATCGAGGATGCCCCACTGAGCATTGTGGTGATGGGGGAGACTGGGGCTGGGAAGTCCAGTTTCATCAATGCCCTGTGGGGGATCAGGCACGAGGAGAAAGAGGCAGACCCCACGGGGCCAGTGGAGACAACCATGGAGAGAACTCCATACAAACACCTGAACGTTCCCAATGTGACAATATGGGACATGTCTGGCATTGGGTCCACTACCTTTCAGCCACAGAAGTATCTGAAGAAAATGAAGTTTGGTGAGTACGACTTCTTCCTCATCACTTCTGCTACACACTTCAAAGAAAATGATGTGCAATTGGCCACAGCAATTTAAAAAATGGGGGAAAATTTCTACTTTCTTCAAACTGAAGTGGACAATGATTTATACAATCTAAAAAAGAGTAAACCCAAGGCATTTAATAAGAACAAAGTTCTGCAAGAGCTCCACAATGACTGTCTGACTCAGCTGCAGAAGGCCAAGGTGAAGGACCCTCAGGTCTTCCTAGTCTCCAGCATGGATGTGTCTGAGTGTGATTTCCCAGACCTGGAGACCACCCTCCTGAGGGAGCTCCCAGCCCACAAGCACCACATGTTCATGCAATCCCTGCCCAGTGTTACAGAGGCTGCCATTGACCAGAAGAGGGATTCTCTGAAGCATGTCTGGCAGGAGGCCCTGAAGGCTGGAGCATAAGCCACCATCCCTTTAGTGGGCTTCATCAGTGATAAGGATGTGGAGAACCTCGAGGAGACCTTAATGCTCTATAGGTCTTACTTTGGGTTGGATGATGCATCCCTGGAAATCATGGCAGAGGATTTGCATGTGTCTGTGGAGAAACTCAAGGCAAACATTATGTCTCCCCATTTGCTGTCTGTTGGGAAGGATGATGAGACTTTAGGGGGAAAACCATTGAAATGTATTGAGAAACTTTGCTCAGTCACTGGGGGACCCATTGCCACTGGCCTTTACTTTAGAAAGAACTTCTATTTACAAAATCATTTCCTTGATACTGTGGCGAGTGACACTAAAGCTCGCCTTAAAAAAGAAGAGCTTTTCGGGGCCGGCCCGGTGGCATAGCAGTTAAGTTCTCACACTCCACTTCGGCGGCCCGGGGTTCACAGGTTCAGATCCTGGGTGCGAACCGATGCACCAGTCAAGCCATGCTGTGGCGGTGTCCCATATAAAGTAGAGGAAGATGGACAGAGATGTTAGCCCAGGGCCAATCTTCCTCACAAAAAAAAAGAAGGAGAAGGAGAAGGA